AACTGTATTGTGGCATCCTTAGCAACTACTATTACTGACTGTTACTGTTACAGAGATCTCTGTCAGTTCCTTTGTTGGAACCACTACTGTTTACTGATTGATGGCCATCATTTACTGTTTGGTCTTTTAAGACCTACCGTTTACTGTACTGTTATGCTAATGGATGTACCACATATGACTGAATGACTGATATACTGAATCAATGAACTGCTTTCATTACTATAAGGACATTCATTCTTAACCTCTTTACGCATTGTGTTATTCACTGGGCATTAGCTCACTGCTCATATATATATATGTAGGTGTACAAGCACCAGACCGTGGCTAGAAGTATCGGGGTAACTCCAGTTTTGTCAAGCCAACCACTGTGTCTCACTACGAGGTTCCGAGCATGTCAAGCTATGGCTTAGGAGTGTTTTAAATTCCCCTATCTATTTCTACATCTGTTTTGTAATAACTGCGTAGAACTGTATAGACTGTACGGTACTGTTTAATAGGGACTAAGTCCCTGTTCTGAATGATTGTATACAATGTACATACTGTTTTGTCACCGATTGCATATGTATGAAAAGTCTTTTGGCATACAGACTATCACGGCTCATTGGACATTGTTTATTTACTGTTTGGCTTCCGCCATGCCCCTATACGTTGTTTTACTGTATTACTGTTAAGCAGACCTTCGGTAATCTTGGATTACTAGCCCGTTACGGTGCTAAACCCATAGGGGCGGGTTTGGGTCGTGACAGAGTGGTATCAGAGCGATACTTACCACGCGTTATACCGCACACACGTGTCCAAATGAGCTATAGGATGTCCTAGAAAAGCGATTAGGGCATTACATGAGCATGATAAGTGTGTGGCTATGACATGACTGAATATATGCTAACGTGTTAATCTATTTAAACAAATGACTGCCTATGTTGATAACTGTTATAACTGCCTATAGTGAAATGGATAATGCAAGAACTGCAAATGAATCTGAATCCTCATATTCTGAGGCAAGAATGACAAGACTAGAAAGAATGATGAAACTAATAACTGAAAGACTAGATCAATAACAGAATCAACAGCCCCCACCTCCTCCTCCGATACAGCTGGAACAGAATGTGAATGTTAATGATGGGGACATAATTGCTCTCACCCAAAAGTTCAGTAAAATGAAACCGCCGTCCTTTCAGGGAGGCCTTGAACCGTTAAAAGCTGAAGCATGGGTTCTTGAGACTGAAATGTTATTTGAGGTGTTTTCGTGCTCTGAAGCACATAAAGTACTGTTAGCTGCCTTCACCTTACAAGAAGAGGCTAGAAGGTGGTGGATGCTTATCCGTGGTGACAACAATGTTATGACTTGGGCTCAATTCAAAGGAGCCTTCTTCGAAAAGTATTTCTCTTAGTGTGTTAGGGACAGAAAGGTAACTGAATTTGAACAGCTGAGACAGGGCACAATGTCCGTTGCTGAATATGAGACAAAATTTACTGAACTTGCCTGTTATGCACCGCACATGGTTGACACTGACTACAAGAAGGCCAGAAAGTTTGAAGGCGGCCTTAATGTTACAATACTCGACAGAATAAATATTTTGAAATTACCGAATTATGTGAATGTTCTTGACCGAGCTTTGATGGCTAAATCGAACATCGAGGCACTGAAAACTGAGACACCAGCGTCTGAATGGCGTGGTAAAAGGCAGGGTTTCAAATTCAAGAAGGGCAAGCATAACCCATTGAACAAGAAACAGAATACGGGGCCAATAACTAGCCCTAGCCAAGGGAGTGGTTTCATACCACCCTGTTCTGAGTGTGGCAGGAAGCACAAAGGGGTCTGTTACAAAATATCTGGAGCTTGTTACAGGTGTGGCAAGGTGGGCCACATGGTTAAAGACTGCCCCTCTGCTCTTCAAGCCAATAGTAAAGCTGCACCAAGCATGGCAGCATCAACTGTTGCACCAAAACTGAACCCCAAAGCCACCGGGAAAGAGCCCATGAGGCAGGGCCGAGTGTTCGCCCTAGTACCGGGAGATGTGCAGAATACCGAGACCGTTGTGTCAGGTATTCTCTCTATTTGTACACAAAATGCTTATATACTGATTGATATGAGGTCTATGCATTCATATGTGTCGCATGCTTTTTCGCGAAAACTAAATAGACCATTATAACCCATAAATTATCTGTTAGCTGTATCATCACCCGTTGGGGGATCCATGACTTGTGCATATATGTACCCTGCTTGTGAAATTATTGTTGGAGATGCACATTTATTTATTGACTTACTGCCACTGAACATTGATCATTTTGATATAATATTGGGAATGGACTGGTTAACGAAATACCATGCTACTATAGACTGTGTAATGAAACAAGTAGTTTTCTGTCTACCTGGTTTACTCGAAATTTGTGTTTAATGGGGTTGGAGTAGTACCTCCTCTGTATTTGGTTTCATCTGTGAAAGCTGTTAAATTGATTAGAAAGGGGTGTAAAGGATATCTGTGTTCTGTATTGACTGTATCTACTGATGATAATGCTAACGTGAACAATATTCCTATAGTCAGAGAATTCCCATATGTTTTTCCAGATAACCTGCCAGGGGATTTGATTGACAGGGAGATTGAATTTACCGTTGATGTGATTCCGGGAACACAGCCAGTATCTAAAGCTCCTTACCGAATGGCTCCAACTGAATTAAAAGAATTGAAAGTTCAATTGCAAGAGTTGCTAGATAAAAAGTTCATCAGGCCCAGTACTTCACCGTGGGGCGCACCTGCCTTGTTTGTGAAAAAGAAAGACGGCTCACTGAGACTGTGTATTGACTACCGTGAACTAAACAAGGTAACTGTGAAAAATAAATCCCCATTGCCACGTATTGATGACTTATTTGATCAATTACAGGGTATCAAGTGTTCTCTAAGATCGACCTCAGATCAGGATACCATCAGTTGAAAGTTAAACCAGAAGACATTGACAAAACTGCTTTTCGAATGAGGTATGGACATTACGAATTTTTAGTTATGCCTTTCGGAGTTACCAATGCACCTGCTGCATTTATGGACCTTATGAACAGAATCTTTAAACCATACCTTGATGACTTTATTGTTGTACTCATTGATGACATACTGATTTACTCCAAAAGTATAGAAGAACATGAACATCATCTGAGACTTGCCCTACAGACCCTAAGAGAACGAAAATTCTGAAAATCGACGCTCGAGCGGGACCCCTATTTTCTGAAAATTCTGAAAATGCTTTTAAAGTGCATCTTTGCATCCTCATTTCATCCTAGGTATTCTTAGGCCTAGTTTAAGGCATCTGAATGAGGATATAGATGTCGAACCACGCCGAGGCAAATTAGAGATTAAGTTATTATCTTTCCCAACTGTGTAGCTTAGTGTGTGTTCTACTTGTATACTGTGTAGGGTTGGCGACTGGGGACACGCTCTAGCTTTACTGTAGCCCAGAACTCTGTGAGTAACAACTGTGTAAAGATATGTTCAAAAATGATTATCTTTTGAACAATTGAACTGTACTGTTTCTGAATCGATACTGTTAATAGAATGAATGTATGTCCTCTATTCTGAACTGTATTGTGGCATCCTTAGCAACTACTGTTACTGACTGTTACTGTTACAGAGATCTCTGTCGGTTCCCTTGTTGGAACCACTACTGTTTACTGATTGATAGCCATCATTTACTGTTCGGTCTTTTAAGACCTACCGTTTACTGTACTGTTATGCTAATGGATGTACCACATATGACTGAATGACTGATATACTGAATCAATGAACTGCTTTCATTACTGTAAGGACATTCATTCTTAACCTCTTTACGCATTGTGTTATTCACTGGGCTTTAGCTCACTGCTCATATATATATGTAGGTGTACAAGCACCAGACCATAGCTAGAAGTGTCGAGGTAACTCCAGTTTTGTCAAGCCAACCACTGTGCCTCACTGCGAGGTTCCGAGCCTGTCAAGCTATGGCTTAGGGGTGTTTTAAATTCCCCAATCTGTTTCTTCATCTGTTTTCTAATAACTGTGTAGAATTGTATAGACTATACTGTACTGTTTAACAGGGACTGTGTCCCTGTTCTGAATGATTGTATACAATGTACTTATTGTTTTGTCACCAACTGCATATGTATGAAAAGTCTTTTGGCATACAGACTGTCACGGCTCATTGGACATTGTTTATTTACTGTTTTGGCTTCTGCCATGCCCCTGTACTCTGTTTTACTGTATTACTGTTAACCAGGCCTTCGGTAATCTCGGATTACTGGCCAGTTACGGTGCTAAACCCATAGGGGCGGGTTTGGGTCGTGACATCTGCAAAAAGGCTTCTCTTCTTCTTCTTCTTCTTCTTCTTCTTCTTCTTCTTCTTCTTCTTCTTCTCTTTTTTCTTTTTAATTAAAAATCAAAAAAAATATAAGGGCCCATAATTGGGACTTTGGATTGCCAATAAAAAACTATATGCACAAATATGTGGAAATATGGATACTTTGGTGTTAGTTTGTTATTGTCCTATTTGGTATGTATTAGGTCTGGTTAGCACCTACTTGGGTGAGGTTGTTTTGGGTGTTAGTGGTTGGTTCCTCACTAACTCTTGATGGTGTGCTAACATATGATTGGGCGAATCTAGTTATTTGTTTATGTGTTCATTTGTCTTTGCCAATAATTTATATGAATAGATGAAATAATCCTGTCTTGCCCACCCAAAGACCGAAAAACATATGCAGGTGATTGCAGGTGATTTTAGTGTCCCCAAAATCCCCCAATATTTTTCATTTTAGGTTTTTATTTTTATTTTTTGAAATTTGTCATGATTTCATGCATTATTCATGGTCTTTTTTTTGATAATCTTTGTTTGTACCTTGTAGGTATGAATTCAAATGGCTAATCACCATTTTCTATTGATGGTAGTCCAGTTCAGCTTACCCAACCACCTACACCACCACAACAACCATCTGTTGACCCAAACACAGACACAAGAACTGATAATATTTAAAACCAGCATCCTTCAACATTTCACGGCTATCAGACTCAGACTCAAACTCAAACTCGGGTTAAGACTCGATCTTGGTTTGAGATTCTAACAGAGAAGACTAGTGGTGGCGACAACTTACTTAAGCTGTCGAAGCCGCTCCTAGTCACAAATTTCAGTGCAACCATAGCTATGGTGATTTTCAGATCAGAGGGATCGTCGTTGCAGTTTGCTTTGAATTCAAAGCCACCACATGCAATGTCATTTGGTATTCTTTTGGCTTGTATTTTATTTGGTTTCATTTGTAATATGATTATGATCTTATTGCAAAAGGAATCGCCAATCGCTGCAAGCATGGGGGGGCATGCTGGCGCGTGGTTGTTCGTGATTGGGTTCTTGACCATGGTACAAATGATTCTATCTCATACCCTCTGGTGGATTGTTTGGCCTGCTGGCGTTTTTATCTTCCTATCATTTCTCTATGTCCTTACAAAGAATAGGTAACTTATTTATTTATTTTTTGTTAATTGTTCATTTTTCTTAACTCAATTACAGTTTTTTTTTTCTTCTTCAAACCAAAACATAGACCAATCCACCAATCAAATCAGTGAAAAAGCTCTTTATTTTTTCTTGGCTTGAAGGCTTATACAAATCAAATAAGTGGGAAAAAAAAATCGAAAGGACTGAACTAAAATCGGTAGGACCTAAGAAATAAATATTTGTCAAATTTTTGTAAAAAATTTAACCAACACTACAAGAAAAGTTGCCTATGACGACGTTTGAACCAAAGACGTTTTATGAAACGCTGTGGTATATCTCAATAGCTAACATGTTTTTCAAGGCATGATGCCTGCTGATGGTCTCAATGAGCCAAGTCTGTTTTACTTAATAAACACTTAACCCCATTCCAATTACCAAAGTAACAATCTCTCATGAGTTGCTCTTCTCTCTTGCAATTAATATCGATCTCTCTCACTATAGCTGTTCTTCATTGGACTCGAACTTGATCTTTCTCACTCTAGCTGTTCTTCATCGAACTCTCCCTCTGTCTCTCTCTCTCTGTCTCTCACAAATCGCAGATCCAAAATCGAATAAGAAAGTTGATCTAATCTGATCGAAATCCATACTCGATATGATCTGATCTGATCTCTCTTGCATTTCGTTAGATCTGTTCTTGCCCTAGCTTTTCTTCATCGAACTCGACCTTGATCTCTCTCGCAAATTGTGGAGCCAAAATCGAACAAGAAAATCGATCTAATCTCATCAAAATCCGAACTCGATCTGATCTGATCTCTCTCGCATTTTGTTAAATCTGTTGATTAATAAGGTTTCAAGCAAGTCGTTTTTATTTTGTTTTTCATTAACAAGTGCTAATAAGTGTTTGATTTCTTTGTAGGTGGCAATGAAGTGTAGAGATCGGTTACATGAACTTGTAAAGGAAGAGATAGAGAAGAAGGATTCGAGTACGGAGGAGTGGAAGATCGCGATGGAGAGTAGCTTCAATCGCATGGACAATAAGGTGATTTCATGGAACAAAAGATTCATTTTTTGTTCTGTCCAGATTTTCCTGATTCATTTTTCGATCTATCCAGATTTTTTTCTTTTCTTCCTCTCTTCGATTCATCTTCCTCTTCGATTCATTTTTTTTCCAGATTTTTTTCTTCTGTTTCTTCACAGCAAACGAAGAACAAAGACAATCATTTTGCATTTTTTTTTTCCAGATTTCTGTTCTGTCCAGATTTTTTTCTGTTCTGTCCAGATTTTTGTTTCCTCTTTTTTCATTTTTTTTTCCAGATTTTTGTACTCATTGGCAGCAAACCAAGAACAAATTGATCTTGTCCATATTTTTTTTTTCATTCCAGATTTCTGTTCTGTCCAGATTTCTTCTTCCTTTTTCTTGAACTCCATTTTTTTTTTTTGCTGATATATATATTTTATTTTTTTATATTTTTTTCCCCACAGCCACTGGAATTTCATGCAACTTGCGTCTAGAGCCTTTACCTGTAATCATCTTAAAAAAGAAGAAGAAGAAGAAGGTAATGTAAAATGACCCCTGTTATTTAACTTTGCCCTCTTTTTACTGTTGTAGACTATAGTAGAAACATAAAACTGATATATTTTAAGAAGAAACATATAATAAAAAAACTGATATATTTTTATATTTCTTGTGTTTAGTGAACATTTGTTAGATTTTTTCATAAATATTTTCATTGTGTGACTATGACTGCATTGTTAGCTAAGGCTGCGGCCATGGCACTTGCTCAGCACCCAATTGTGAATACTACATGTAAAGATGGGAAGAGTGTTACTTATAATAGCAGTATAAATATTGCAGTTGCTGTGGCAATTAATGGTGGGTTGATAACCCCTGTTCTTCCAAGGTGGTTTGGTGGATTCCTTTCATGTTTTCACATTTCTTCCTCGTAATTGAAAAGGTAAAGTTTTCTCCATAACATACATAAGGAAAATGTTGCATATAGGGATTTAATTGATTTTTAGTAAACCCCACTAGTCAAGCATAATTAGATTTGGTTTTCTTAAAAGGTTGTTATAGTTTTATACTGAAATGTTATTTATTTTCATGTATTCACATCATTTGCATTAATTTTTGTTCTTTTAGCTTTATATTAAAAGGAGAGATCGATGTAATTATGTCAAAATTGTAGTGTTTGTTGTGTTTTCTCTAAACTTAAGGGGGAGGCCAGTGTACTTTACCCTATTATTGAGCATCCACATAATTTATATCAAACTATCTTGCAGCCCTTGATTTGTCCATTTTCATCTTGTAATTTATCCTATTATTGATTTGTCCATTTTCATCTTGTACCCTATGATGTTTACCAATCCATGGCTGTAAGTTTGGCACTGGCAAATTTGGCTAATTTATATGATGACTCAATTACTTGCACTGTTATCCATATAACCATTGTTTATGTTACTGAAGAAATTATTTATAATCGGTATTTCTGATATGTTCTAGAGTTTCTTGGCCTCTTGGACCTTTTCATGTATTATATTATTGAACTTTGTTATGTGGCTGCATAGTGAACCAAGTTTCCATCTATTTGGTTTTATAATGTGTCATGGTGCTAGAGTTGCAAGGGCATTAAAGTCTCTGCTTCAAGGCATTTTGCTGTCCTCAGAAGGGTAATTAACTATTTGTCTTCACTTTTTCTCTATAACAAAATTGTAGATATTTTGGGTCCGTTATTTTTGTTACAGATTATTTATCTGCTTCCATTACTGAAAACCCACACTATTATCTTAATTTCTTTTCCAGAGAAAAACTGAATTCTATGAACCTTCTGTTATACATGGCACCAATAGTTGTTTTGTTCTTAATTCCTACTACATTGTTGATGGAGGAAAACATGGTTGGGATCACAATAGCTCTTGCTAGAGATGATATCAAAATAATCTTTTATTTACTCTTCAATTCTGCCTTGGCATATTGTGTGAACTTGACCAATTTCTTGGTCCCCAAACACACCAGTGCTCTGACTCTCCAGGTCTGTCCCTTCGTTCTAACACAGCTTCTTTCCTGTTTTAGTTTGGCATTAGTGATATCTTAAAAGAACTGGGGACTCTTTATTTGTTATTGAAATATAAAGAAGAGGATTTTTTCTACATGATGATCGAGGATATGATTATTAATTAAGGTTTTAACATAAAAATCATTAAGGAAAAACTATAAGTTTTAACATTGATAATTCCTTGTAATATGTTAGTTCTTCAGTTTGGTCCTACATCTAATTGTTTTCAGAGCATCATTTGTGACATGGTCTTGTGTCATGACATAGAGTTGTGTTTTGCATGGTAAATTCTTTAGTACTGTGAGTGCTTTGTTGGAACACTAGCTCCCGTCTTGCCATTTTTCTCCCTGAAGAACATTTTACAAGCATGATGCTTAACTCATAAATCATTCCTTTTGTTGCATGATGCATAACTCAAAATTGCAGGATTGAGGAAAATAAATATATATAAGAACTCATCATCTGTGGGGCACCTCTGTGAGAAAGTATCTAAGCTATACCCAAAACACTCAAAATCGCTGGATGGTTACCAAAAACTACTCTAATCTGGCTTCTTGTTGAGTATCCAAATCAAGCTTCTTCCTCTATTTTGTCAGGGTATGCGCCCTCCACCCCAGGTTCATGCTTACTCCTGATAGGTTAGTCTTTTTTGATGTCATAATCTTTTCACTTACGAAAAACATTATTTTGCAAGGTTGAGAAAGAAATAGAAAAGAGAAGAGAGATCTCCTTTCACAAGGTTGGAATATCCGTGGCACCCCCAGCCAGTTTTCAGGACATTGTTGCTTCCCATGGAGACTCTGAAGAGGTTGGTCCTATCCTTTTCCTTTCCTTGAATGAAGAATAACAGAATGGTAGTGTGAGGAAAAACAACTGTGCTTTATTCTGATAATTAAAATGACGGCAAAACCACCAGTTTTAACATCTAAGTATCAGTTTTTACACTGAAGATTTTTCCCTATTAATCTTAAATTCTTAAATCACCACCAGAATGAATCTGGAAATAAAATTGTAACATACCATCATCTTTTACAACCCCTTATCAAATATGAATGTAGCTTTCCTTTTGACCACTCCTTATTCTTGTGATGGCTCCACTTATGCTTCACCGCTGTTGATCTGGGTAGTAGTGCTCAGATCTGTCTAGTTACAACTACAAGAAGCATTGTAGAGATGAAGTTGCTTTTTCTGAAGTGGATTTTGTGCTTGGTGAAATGCTTATGTTATAACTGTTGGATGTTGATTTTCATAATGAAATTTCATAAGCATAGCAAAAAGACCTAAGCATAAGCATTGACTCAATGCTCTAATCTACTACCCTAGGGTGGTAGGTGGTGGTGCTTTAATTCATGAATCAGCAAATTGAGAGCAAAAATTGCTGGCAATCTGCAAATTTGTTTCCCCCAATTTGCAAATTCTTTTTAGCTAGTCTGCAGATTCAATATGATTTTTGATTTATCATATGATTTGCTGACACATAGCATGCACTTCAGACACCCAAACACTTGGGTTTCCCATGTTGTCATGTGCTACACACCACCCAAACACTGATGTGGATTTTTCTGCACAAATAATTGGCTATATTGATGAGGCCAAACATGTATAATATAGTGGGCTCATTCCAAACACTCCCAATTATCTTAGTATCTTTTGAATTTTATTTTTGATTTCTTCATGATGGCTGCTAGTGCTCTTTCTGTCATTATCATGTTTGTTCCATAACATTGCCCTCATTAGTTTGTTATAGTTAATTACTTATAATTACTTTTGAGTAATTTGTTAATGTGTACTGTTGCTGTTGATTGCGCCTAATAATGTTTTTATTATATCCAAACTTGTCCAATTCTCATAGATGTCTTATTTTGTTTCTGGTGCAGGCATTTGGAGTACCACCTTAGCAGCCATGGCAGAAAGTGAACTTAATATCATGATGAAGTAGTAGTGTGTCATGATCTGCTCATGTCTGTAAATATTTTTAATTTTTTGTTGTCATAAATTTTCATTAGTCAAATTTGTATTTTTCTAAAATATTTATGGCTTAATTGGTTTTAATATAATTTATTTTGAATGTTAAAGGTGATCAAAGTGATCAAATGTTCAAGTTATTGTGAATTGTGTAATTTGAATTTTGCTTTTGTTGGTCTCTCTCTCTTTGTTTTTTGGTTTTTTTGGAGGAAGAAATACATGTTTTGATTAGATTTTGTTATTTTATTGTAAATTTATTTGGGAAAAATTTTGATTAGGTTCAGCTTTTTTTTTTTTTTTTTTATAAAAAAAAGGCTTTTAGAGACGTTTTAATAAAAATGCCACTATAAGTTAGTATGGGCAACTTCTACGCTGGCGTTTAAAAAAACGCCGTGAAAGATCTTGTGCGGCGCTTTTAAAACGTCGCAAAGTTATAGCGACGGTCGCATCCTCGACGTAATTTTAAAACGCCAACATATGTTTTGCCAGCGTTTTTGACAGATTTAGCGATGTTTTTGAAACGCCAGTAAAAGTCAATTTTCCTGCAGTGTAAAAACGAAAAAAAATAAAATATAAAGAAAACACTACAAGATTTAAAGATTTTAAGGACGAAACTTTTTTGTTCCTCAGAGAAAATCTTGGTGTAAAAATTATTGGGAGACCAATTTTAACTGTTATGAAGTAGTCACAAAGAGGTTTCAAAAAATCAAAAAAAAATAATCTTTAACGACAAAAATTTTAAAATATCACTAATATATATACATTAAGAGACAAAATTATTTGGTTTGAAAAGGTTTAAAAACAATTAAACCAAACAGACTATTCTTTAACTGTCATGAGGTAGTCACAAAGCAGTCGTTTCAAAAAAAAAAAAAAAAAAAAAACTTAAACAATAAAATTTTTAAACTTAATGATATGACAATCAATTAGAATATTTATGACAATTATTTTTCTCATATCTTCTTTAATTATTATCTAGTTAATTTTTTTACGCATTATTAAATCTAGAAAGTGAACTTGTATACCATTTTTGTTTTGACATTTATTGGTTTTCTATGATTCACTTTTGTTGGTATTGGTACATGCTAACTTCATTAATTTAATTCTTTGTTTGCATAGAACATTATGTTATACATCTAAATTATTCTAATAGGCCCGGATAAACCTACATCATGGATCTCTAAGAAGATATATATGATACAAAAATTATGATACGAAAAGTGAATTTATAATGTGCGTTTTAAAGTTATATTTTACAAACTACTTCAGGTTTTAGTAGTAAGTTACTGTTGTATGCATCATGAATTTCATTTTTTTTTTATTCAGTTATTTATTTTTGACCTTGCAAATTGCTCTGTTTTGTGTTGCTGGACTTCTAAATGTGTATTGTAAGACTGTGGTTGTCTAGTCAAACGTAATTCTCCTCATATGAAGTCTCAAACCCCAATGGAAAAAATAAAAATAAAAATATAATAATTGAATCGGGAAATACTTAATTTCATAAAACTTTCTAAGAAATGCACTGACTCAAATTTTCCTTACAACTACATAAATATTCCATCCAATTTAAAGGATTATTTTTTTATTTAAACAGTCTTTTTTTTTTTTCTTTCCATTTTTTTAGACCCATATGCTTGTCCAAATAAATGACACAACGAATTTTTTACTTAGGTACTTATTATAGGTTTTTGAATTGTGAATTGTGAAGGATTGCTACAGAAGACGTTGATACTGAAGGTGAGAACGTTTTGTTCTATTGGGGGGGAGAGATTGTGTCTGATCACGAAGGTGTGTCTTACAGCCATCATGTGAAGAAGTTCTGTAAGGTGGAAAAGGGGACAACATTGAGCGAGTTGGAGGCGATGATCATGCCCGAGGAGGCCCCAAATGGAGAAAACATGCAACTGGTGTTCAACTATAGGATCCCATATTGGCAGTCCAAATACGAAGTGAAGTATGATTTGTTACCAATCGACAATGATAAGACTTTGGCTTTTGTCTTGAATCAACCGAAAAGCTCATCATCAGAATTTATTTTGCAATTTTATGTGGACTGTAAGGATAGCACGATGGGCAACATAACATCGTCTGTGCAGTAAACTCAAGAATATTTTCCAACTACTCTTTAATTATATGGGTAAGTTATATTGATGTCCTTTTGAATTTTTATAATTTCAGGATCCTCTCTCTTATTGATGTTAATCATGTTAGAAAACTTAACCAAGGGGTTGTTACCATGTGTGATTAGCACTTTCGCCACTTAGTCTCTCTTAATGAGAGATCTTGGGTTTTACTCTTAGAAATAGAGTTGTATGGTAAGTCTTAAGTACTTATGAAGAGATGGTGTGCGTTCAACTCTCCAGAGTGTCAAAGAGTTCAACTCTCCAAAATGATGTGACCTTCAATGAGGCGTACCCCAATTTTGTAGATCTCTGTGACCTCGTTAAAGTAAGAGTAGCCATGTGGTTGAAGTCAAATAGGGTAGGAAGTAACTACTCAATTAATCAGTTTGTATCTAATCTACAAGAAGTCAGGAATTGCATAAAGTGAGGTGTCATGTAGCTGGTGCTTGCTGTGTTGGGTTTGTGATTCTGTTTTTTGGGTGGTTGTTGTTGTTGTTGTTTTTTTTTTTTTTTGGTTTCTCACAAACTTTTGGTGGTTGTGCTAACATATGATAGGGCGATCTTCTTCGTGCCAACCTAGTTAGGATTGCGTCGCATTGCTTTGATACTTTTTGCACTCACCTTTCCTTTATTGATGTATTCCCATATGTTTGTATGTTGTTTTTCATCATACAAAGTTTTTTTGCTGATAAAAAAAAAAACTCTCCAAAGTGTTAAATTTAGTTTAATGTCTAAATAAATCTTTTCAATCTGTTTTACATAATAGAAATATTTTTAGTCTGTTTTACAGAATAAAAATAGGCGAATGATTTAGGTCAAGTTTGGCATCTACTAAATAATACAAAAAGTCAAAAAGTTACTATCCTATTTAAGTCACATCATCTTATTTAAATCACATCACCTCTCTAACACATCACATCAAATCCAACCCAAACCCAACCTATATAAGCCAATAAGTCAAAAAGTGCACTTTTTTAGAACATCCCAAACCAACCCTAAAAACAAATCAAAAGGGTTTAAATTGACAAAATACTTAACAGAAATAAGCTTTTTTGTTTTTTGCTTTTTTTCTTTTTTTGTGGTAATTTTCCCTATTTGCTTTTACTCTTTAAATTTTAATGATATTATTGTCCATGCATTATATCACACTAACAATTTTTTATTTTTTATTTTTTATTTTTTACGTAGATGTGAAGATTTTGCTGCAATGAGGACATTTTTTTTTGAACAGCAACGAAATCTTTATTGATGAAACCAGCAAGGAGGGGAAGATTACATCAATAAAGAGGCGCTTGGTGCTAAAAAGCACCAAGCGCCAGTTGGTGAGAAGCCAACAGAAAGAGAGGGAGGAAAAGAAAACAACAGAAGCAAAACACCCAGAGAATTGGTTTAACAAGCACCAAGCAAAACACCCACAGCAACAGCCAAGCTTTGGTTTCCAAAACTGGAGCACAGCAGCATCCTCACTAGACAACCGGCTGATCACAGAAGCAGAACAAATAAACATCCTCCCCATTCTGGTGAAGCAGAACAGAATGAATTTACACTGGCTTCAGGTAATGTACACCAGCCAAACCAACCAACTGTGGCACACAACACACAACCATAGCAGACATGATAATAGCAGTTCACCTACACACTATGTAAACCTGAAGCATAGCAAGACATACCATCCAACCTTGGCACACGACAACAACTCTCCTTGAGTGGAGTGGAAGTAACTGTATACTAGCCATATATATCAGCAGCCAGAGCAGTTTCAGACCAACAGCCAGAACAGTAACCACCATACAGAACCCCATCAGGTGCCATCCACTAAGCACACCCCCCAGAAGCCAGTGCAAATACACCAAAACAGAAACACCAGCAGACAACCAAACAGAGACACCAGCAGACAGTACACCATAGCAGTTCACCTACCCACTTTGAAGGCCTGAAGCATAACAAGTCTGTATGGCCTTCACCAGATGATTACAAATGCATTACAGCCTCCCACCCAAGCATACTCTAATTTGCACCAGATTATACACATAATCAGTGATGGGAAAGTGTAGATCCCTTGAATTAGATTTCAGCCAAATTGTAGTCCTAACAGTAATAGTTTCATGCAACTCTTCCAGGTTAGGTTGGACATCTTGGAAAAGGCATTCATTCCTATGCTTCCAGATTGACCACAGAGCCACCAAAGGGATTGCATCCCAAATTCTCCTTGCAGCTTTGGTGAAATTATTACCTGCCCACCATTGCAAAAGTTCTGCAACAGATCTATGTAACGCCCTCAAAATAAACCCATTATATATATATCATTGACATGCAATATTAAAAGAAAACAATTCATTATCCCATTCATCAGAGTATTATTAAATAAAAGCATTACATGTAATACCAAATTAAATGCCCTACGGGCTTACATTTTTCCAAGCCAACACTTGGACACAAATTATGAGTTCTAACTCAAATACAAATAAAGCCCTAGGCTTGATTATAAATCAAATAAAAACAAATAACTAAAGATGGTCTTCAGAATCCAAAAGCTAAATCCTTCCAAGCTAAGTCCTTGGAGGTAGCTTATCACCTGAACCTGAAAATGATGTTCCCATAAAGGGTGAGCCACAGCCCAGTAGAAAAATACTAAACCAAATATAAGCAATGAATAAAGATATGGCATTCAATAGATGGTTAACCAAGATAATCAATTACATCATTATACAGTTTCATGACACTAATGTCAATGACACGTTTCACTTTTCTTTATTATCAATAAGGCTCAGAACCTGGCCAAACTTACAACAGTGAACTATATATGTTATATCCACATTACTTCCAATATCAACAAACAAATGAGACTCAGGCCCATATCAAAACACTTCATACTTCCCGTTTGATACACATTTTAGTGCTGCATCAACAACATGTAAAAACACTTCAATATAATAAGCACACATAATAGTGATGCTAATGGAGTCCATCCCCTATCTCCTCCCAAACAAAATCCGGGTTAGAGGTCCATCCCCTATCTTCCCCTAAACCGTGGAGTACATCCCCTATCTATAAAAATGGAAGTTGCATAAAATAAGGAAATTGAGTAGAACAAGAAATTGAATAAAAATGGAAGTTGAATAAAAACAAAAATTGAAGTTGCATAAAATTAAAAATGGAAGTCTATTCAAGAAACCACTATACCTTAACGATCTATTTGGAAAAGTAAATTAAAAAAGGAAATTGAATAAAAATAGAAGTTAAATAAAAATAGAAATGGAAACAGCATAAAATTAAACATGGAAGTTCATTCAAGAAACCACTATACCTT